CTGTTGGGTGTGCTTTATCCGTAAAGGTCTTTGTGTTTGGTTTGTCAAGTGTCTCAGGCAATTTTTTATGCACCAAAATGGTGTGTATATTTTTAGAATATCTTTATACTATGGATTAAAGGTTGATTACATAAGCAACGGGATGCAAGGTATGCAATCATAATAAGACAATATCTTATTGCAACTTCAAATTTAGCAGCTGCATCACTGGATTTCCTTGCATTCCTGAAAGAATTTGCAAACAAATAACCAGGTACTTTATCCCTTATCGGCACAGAGATAGAAGAGAGTGAGCTCTGCTATACAGCAGCCCAGAGTTGTACAAAACAGAGAAACAAAACAGAAACAGAAACAGAACCTTCATTTGGTCCAGCCTTGCTTTGAAACCGAAGTCCTGACCTATGATGTCATTTCTGGAACAGAAAAGCAGAAGTAATTTTCTACATTATTTATCTCTTTTTGGGGGGTGGGGAGGCATGGTTTTAAGATGCTTAGATACCATCTTTTTAAGGAGTTACTTGAACTAACTCCTTTTATTATGTTGGAAACTCTAGGCACAAAAGGCGCAGTACACTTATACTCCAACTTTTGAATCCTAGGCCCGTATTTTTACTCATCATAGGCAGCTTAAGAATGACCAGGCAGGGCTGGAGAGATGGCTCAGCGGTTGAGAGTACTGACTTCTTTCCCAGAGGAGCCAGGTTCAATTCCCAACACCCACAAGACAGCTCACAACTGTCTGGGGGATCTGACACCCTCATACAGATATACATATATACAGTCAAAATACCACTGTACACAAGATAAAAATAAATTATAAAAAGAAATTAGGAAATTAAAAAAATGACCAGGCAAAGTAGATCACGAAAACGTGCGCTTTCCACAGAAAGTCCCAATACTATCATTAAGTCTTAGGTTTACAGCTTTTTATATGGTCTTGGAAAGTTTTCAATGGTCTCTTGTCCACTTGCCCCTCTGCTTGGCAGGGGTAGGTATTGGCACTCTCCATCTTGCTGATGTCCTCAGCCCAGTCAGATGACTGCAGAAGAGGCTCATTATTCAATGTTCTTCAAGTCTCTGCTCTGATTTTGAGCCATAGCTGCTGGAGTTAGAGACTAGGGCAAGCAAGTCTTGAGCTCTACAGGAGCAATAGGATAGCAGGACAGGCCCGCTGGATCTTAAGTGCAAGTTAGAGGGCTACAGAGGGGGGCTTCCCTTTGAATGGCAATGAGCTGGGAAGTTAAGGGCAAGGGGAAGTCTTCGTTCCTACGTATAGTGGAGGACACTCTTTCTTCCCTCCATAACTGGTGGGAAGCCTGAACCAGGCATGCCTTGGCCTCAGGAAGGTTCCTTAAGGACCGGCTGCCCCGGAGTGGTGTGTGATCTGACAGCCACAGAAATACACTGAACCAGTCCTTTAATCGGCCGGTCCCCTCAGTCCCGCGCCCCGAAAGCCTCGATCCCAGCCGGCCCTCAACCCATTCCTGCGGCAGCGTGCACGCGGAGCCGGAGCTCTGGAAGGGCATCGAGTCGTTTTCCGCGCCTCTCTTCTTAGGCCGCGTGCGGAAAAAACCCGGTGCGGGCTCGTACCGGGCCGCGCTGCGCGCGCTCCGGTTCCCAGCGGAGGGTGCACACCCGCCCGCCGCCAGGCCGCAGAGGAGCTGGGCGGGGCCGCCTGCAGCCGGAGCGCGCGGGCGCCGGGCAGGAAGACGCGGGCGGCCGCGTGTGCGCAGGCGCGCGGCGCCCCGCCTCCCCAGCGTCGGTCCGGGCGGGCGGCGCGAGCCCTCCCACTCTCCCCCGCGCCGCCTCACGGCTGCGGCCCTCGCTTCACCCCGACGCCCGGCGTGCGCGCCTGCCCGCTCGCCCGCCCGCCCTCCCGCAGGCCCGGGGCTTCAGCCCGCTAGTCCGCCGCCGCTCGC